ATATAAACAAGTGTTAGTTACCACTTTTATTTATTATATTAACTAATTCGAACACAATATTATTTGTTTAAATATTATTAGGATTTCGGAAATTATACGTTTCCTAACCCGAGGATCATTGCGACTAAGCTGTACCCAACCAAAAACATGCATTCGAGGTGAGTTCATACCCTTACGTTTTCACGATTTTTAAATTGTTTTAGGGGGAATACAAGTAAAACACAAGAAATCTTGTGTTTAAAAATATAATTTACTTATTATATTTTCTTACCGTTAATTTGTATTTAAACGTGAAATTTATTAAATACGCCAAACATCGTTATTGTTAAATTTACAAACAATTACAAAACATGTTAAGACGCAACGGTTTTTACATCAACGGAAACAAACTTATAAACTATAATAGATATAGTTTATGGAACATATGAACTATTTTACAAAGTTCAGGTTACAACACGAAAACAAACTTATAAACTATAATAGGTATAGTTTATGGAATAAACGAACCATTTTTACAAAGTTACATGTTATTTACTAAAAGGTTTTTCACTTTATTACTAGTAAACTCGTTGGAGCAATTTGTGAGACGTCTTCGGGTACTTATCTAAGTACCAACCAAGTCCTGACTTATAACCAGAGTCTCTTGTAGGGAAAGCGAGATATTTGTGTATAGATCTATACAGGACTGACAATCCCGCACCTTAACTGTTAGCTACAGTTAGGCCGGCAGGCCTGGGGTGACAAATGTCGTTAACATCCCGACGCCTAAAGAACGTCGCGATAAGGCCATCTTAGGTTACAGTATGGTTATAAGAACTCACATGGAGAAAACAATGACACATTTACGTAGTAATATACTTTTAAAATAGTCTTGAGGGGTATTAACTCTGTGATTACTTAGCATATACATCAAGGTTATATACAGTTAATATTTGATAGACAGTGGAATGTGTGATTTCCGCCTTATTTCCTGTTCCTTGTTTGGTTGTGGGCTTAGGGCAGAATCACCCATTTGACTGTTTGTTCGATCTCGATTATATACAACTCGTATGTACTAAGTGATCATAGGAGGGTATTAACATCACATCTAGTTTACAGGGAAAACACATCTTCAGCTAGTTTTACTTATGAATAAAACTAGGTATCATCAAATTAAGTATGACAATTATACTTTACTTTTCGGTCTTGGAACGTTTAAGACTACAATTCAGTTTTATGGAAAATATAGAATTTTCCAGGATAAACATCATTATTTTACAAGCAAACAGTTTACAATTCAACTTTCAGGAAACAAATACGATTACTTACTCGAAACAATACTTTACAGTAGAGTGGGTGGAACTAGGAACATATTTACAAAAGGTTCAACATTTATTTACAAACTAGTATAACATAAAGGACTCTTAATTATTAATTCTATGGTTCCTTAGCTTATACATCAGAGTTATATATAAATAATATCTGATAGGCAGTGGAATGTGTGATTTCCGCCTTACTTCCTGTTCCTTGTTTGGTTGTGGGATTAGGGCAGATCTACACATTCAACTGTTCGTTCGATAGTAGTTTATATATAGCTAGTATAAACTAAGTGATCATAGAAGGAACTAGTATGGTCACATTTCTTACTAAGAAAATATAGAATTTTCTGGAGGAGCACACGAACATTTTCAAAGAACAAAGAATATACTTTCTGTAACAAAAATGCTTATGAACTCACCAACTTTAATGTTGACACTTTTTCAAACCACTTGTATTCTCAGGAAAATTAGTAGACATGTACCCTCTCAGACGTTACGAAGACGGAGCATAGTAGCATTACGTCTTATCTTTTGCTATAACTTTAATGTTAAACAAGCAATATTTTGAACACAATGTAAATTATATATTATCAATACAATGGTTGTTGTTGCTTTGATTACTATTATACAATTGTTGTGATACTGTACATGACGTCATCCACCTCCGAACGTTTCCGCCGTTCCGGTTTGGGGGTGTGACAAATGAGGAGTGTTAAAACAGTGAAGTGCATATGCATATTAAACAACAATAGCAACCAAAAAATTGAAACTAAGAACTTCAACAATTAACAAAAACAACCCCTTTGTTTTCCGTTTTCCTCTCTTTTCAGTTTTCTTCTTTTCTTTATGTTTTCTATTTCTTGTTTGCTTATGTTTATTTATTTATTTATTATCATTTTATATCTGTATACTGAAAATAGTTTATGAACTTATTGCATTTCGTTAAGATATATAACATAATTCAAACACTTATTTCATAAAAATATGAAGTATATTACTATGAGTATTCAGGATTGCTTATTTAGAACATCTTATGACTTTTTTAAAAGAAAATTGCGTATAAATTCACGCAACACCAGAATAAAGCCATTAAGAAGTTTAAACCACTAAGCAAGTAAGCAATTAAAACAGTTAAAAACTAAAAATACACTACCTTCGTGCCTTTTTAAGTTCATCCAATTTCTCCTTGATTAAATGGATACTTCTTGTTCCCATTTCTTCCTTTAAGCTTCATTTTAAAGGACATTTTCATGAAAAACAACCTTATTTGTTTCAACATTGTGATTATTGGCCTCCTTTGACTATGTATCAATGCACTATTAAAACTCTTAAGCACTCCGCTCTCCACCATATTACATGTCATATCCAACTGAAAGAAGGTATGCGATCATATTTTAGGAACATTTTCCATTAAACACTCGTACGTTGATACACTAACTTCCTTGATTTGGTTCATGAAAAAAGTGAAGTATTGTTCAGTCGTGGATTTGGCCGCCTTCTATTACCAGTGTCATACCTTATGTTGGTAAGTTATGATTGTTATTCCATTATCGGTGCCAATTGTCATCCCTAAGTTTTCTATCAACCATTCTAAAAACCATTTCCAAGTCGCCTTGTTTTCAACCGTTCAAACAGCCCATGTAATTGTGTATATAATATGATTGTTTACATCACGACCAACCGTTGATAGTAACTCCCCTCAGCAAACACTCATCAAGATTAATCACTCCTCTACAACCCTCTATCTACCCATCTTTCATAATCTTGAAACAAACATTGAATGTTTGAAAAATTCTTTTCATCAGACATGATATCAACATCTAATACAAATGTTGATCCATGTTTGTATCTCCTTAATTCCTCTGCATGACACCTCATTAGGACCGACCTTTATGTCTTAATATTATTTTTTAACAATTTTATATGTTTACTAGGTTACAATCCGTGGTAACCACAGGTAAAAAATTTATACAACATTTATATTATTGATAAGAGTTAAGTTTGTTTAAAACTTTTTGTATTGATTATTTAAAATTAATATTAATATATATTTATAAAAAAGAATATAAATTTGAATAGAGGTTAAAGAGAAACACAATGATTAATATAAATTACAATGGTATATAAAAAATAAAATATATAAGAAATGTAATAAAAATAAATAAAATAAGACAATTGTTTGAATTTTAAAACTACGAAGCATTTATAAATTTCTAAAAACTTCCTTATACACAGCATTGGAAGTTTTGTTTGTAAGTCTACCATCCTTATCTAAAATTAACAATTTCAATCCTTCTCTACTTTGAACTCTAGATAAGGCAACATACAACTGTCCATGTGAAAAAACAGGATCTTTGAGATATAGACCAACCCTTGATAACGACTGCCCCTGACTTTTATTATGTCCTTGCAAAACATACAACCAATGTAAATTGTTTTCTTTGAAATTTGAAGGGATTTTTTTTTTCAGATGGACTTAAAGACATTCTTGGAATGAAGGTTCAGTTTCCAATATTACTTCCAGATATGATAATTGTCTCAATAACATGTTTGCCTAGAGATTTGACTTGTAGTCTAGTGTCGTTACATAAGCCATTTTTCTGATCAATGTTTCTTAGTAACATAACTGGAACACCGACCTTTAAAATTAACTTGTGATTTGGCAAACATGATACTTTAAGAACATTTAAAATATCTGGGGAGTATAAATTGGGATCAAACTGATCATGAACAAACTCTGATTGGCGGAGACTATCTGAACTTAAATATTCTACTTCGTCTCCGGGAAACAATGATAACAAACGATCATTGATTTGTTGGACAACTTCATTTTTTTGGAGCTAGTATAGCTCTTTCTTGAAAATAACTCGTAACGTTGAATTTTTCCAAGATTGAAGGATATACAACTCAATTAATGAACCTATAGGATCACGTGGATCATTAATGAGAATATCATCCGGAACATCAATAATCGCTTCACCATCGTTTGAACCACTAACTTTTCCTTCTCCTATATCCAAAAGTCAGTTTGCAAAATCATGTATTTCTCGAATATCAGATGGATCCCTTCCAATAGTTAGCCTCATGTTTATCGTTAATCTATGGACTTTGCATTGTTGCCATATATATGAAGAACTTAAAGAAGCATTAACGATGTTTTGTCTACTACCTCCTTGAACAACAGGTAGAATTTGTCTGAAGTCTCCTCTAAAAACAATCGCTTTCCCTCCAAATGGATTTTTTGAGTTGCTAGACTTATCAAACTTACATACATCTTTCAGAGCTCGATCTAAAGCTTCAAATGCATGCTTGTGGGCCATAGGTGCTTCATCCCAGATAATCAATGATCTTTTTCTTACTAATCTGCCGAGTTCACTATCAGGCGGTATCTTACAAACAGAGTCCTCCGTAAGATTCAACGGAATTATAAACTGAGAGTGTGTTGTCCTACCTCTAGGTAATAATAACGATGCAATACCACTTGAAGCAACATTTAAAATATATCACCATTACATCTAATTGTTGCAGATATTGTCTTCCAAAGAAAGGTTTTACCCGTTCCACCATATCCATACACAAAAAACACACCTCCTTTCTTATCCTTGATTGTAGTCATGATATCAAGAAAAATATTGCGTTGCTCGTTTGTTAATGCAAGAAACATACGATCAAACTCTTTCTTTAAAATCGGTATGTCATAGTCTAGCTCCTCCGTGATAAGGCGATTTGTTGAAGAAGAAACAGTATCAGCATCAGGGTAAGACATGTTTTATAATTTTTAAGACTGGTGTTGTTACGAAGTAAAATTTGTTCGATCTCGAACAAATTCAGGTTTTTAATTTGATCCTCATTGAGTGATAAACCTGTACAATGAACAATATGTAAAAAATAATATAATATTAAACAGTTTAATGGTAATAAAAAAATTGTACCCTGCATATTGAAAATATACAGTATCCGTTTTTACAAATAATGATAGAAAATTATAATACCTGAAGACTTTAATCTACGTTGTTGGTTGTAAAGAATACCATCCGACAAGTGTTGCCATGTATTTTCCCAAACAAACTCTGGTCTACCCAAACTGTTAGACATTAACATCGTAGCAAATAAGAAACGTAGATAAAAACCAGTTCCTGAATGACTTGCTTCCTTAGTTGCATCGACGTATTCTTTGTCGTCATCTAACATGCCCAAAGCATAACATGCATCTCGAAAAGAAGGAAATTCTTCACCATTTACTGTACGAATTTCTCCAAATGATTTTGGACCTTTCACTTTATTTAAAAGAATTCGTAAGAAGTAGAGTTCGCCAAGTTTAGGTGAGACTGAGTGAATTCTTCCTATTGAACGTCCAATTTTCCTTGGCTTCCAAAACCTACCATTAGGTTTCCAAACAAACTTTGTAGGAAATTCAACATATGTAAGTTTTCGTGCATCTTTATTAATTTTATTACATTCCATCCAAGATGTGAACATAGAAGCAGCAACTGAAGGTTGTTCAAGAACATTGTCAATATCATCGTCTGCAGCATATATGACTTGTTGTTGATCAGGAAAATGAAAAGGTAGTCGCATCACAGAAGGATATCGGTAATGAACATCGTATCCAAATATTCGCCATGAAGCTTCACATGCAGATATATATCTACAATCATAATAATCTTTTATTTCATCTACAACATCATCGTGATCAGAAGCAGTGTTGATGTCAACAACAATTGTAGCTCTATCTGGACCTTTGTTTATATATTTAAACAGATACTTTATGGAAGATCCCTGATTGCACCATTCAACATTAATGTGTGTCTGATATCTTTTCAACAAATATTTGTTATATGGAACAACATTTCTGTTGTCTAACTTAACACTTGATTTTTCGACAAAATATCCATTGTTTCTTCTCATATATAAGGGATAACCGTTGACATCAACTGGAGAATGATTACAGAACTGCTTTGGAAAATTTTTCGAACATTGTTTGCCAACCATGCATGGGCAATTCATATTTTCAGCTCCACAAGGACCATGTATCATGAATTCGCTTACAAGTGTATACAATTCTGGATCTTCATTGATATTTGGAATCTCAGCGGAAATAATCGGATCAATATATTCAACAGTAGGCCGCTTGGAGTCCGCATGCATAAATAGACAAATATGACTATGTGGGAAACCTCTTTTTTGAAATGCAATTGTATAGACCACTGCAAATTAATTTTTTAAATAACATATGATTTGTACCGGATGAAATATATTTTCAAATAATTAAAAATGTGAATAACTGAAAAAATTATTTTAATAATTTTTTTTGTGTTAAACAACAACTTTTAATATCTGCTTGAACGATGCCGAAAATTTTATTTTCGCGTATGTCTTTAATAAAAGCATCAAGCTTTATTTTGAATAGCCTACATAAGATATCAGGTCTATCTTCTGGATGTAGTGAAGTGTTATGAAGAAACCTTTTAACTTCAGGCCATTTCAGATTACATGTAAAGGTTATGAAGAAATCAGGATATCCAAACCATTTACATAACGACATGGCGTCCAAGTAGTTTTGCATCATATAACGTGCACCGATAGTGAATGAAGAAGGTAAGATAACACGATGTCCGACGTTGGATATATCTTTATTCCCAAGATCTTGTTGATTACGTAAATTCTCATAAGACTCACATCTAAGAATTTGTTGTTTGCTCCTTATGAAATGTAATCTCTCACTTTCAATCATAGTATAAGCATCTACCAAAAACTGTTGGAACAACCTTTTTGAATTAAGAATTAGTGAAAAACCTTGATCTCTGTCCTGTATTCTATAAGAAAAAATTCTCTCATTGTACAGTTGGGCCGCTTGTTGTTGCTTGAAGGTGTAATACCTCGATGTGGTATGTCAACCCTGTAACCATCATCACCATATGGAAACGGTAGTGGATACTGAAGAGGAAGGTATGAAGGATGTAATTCACTAATACGCCGTAGAGAACCAGATAAAGTTTGAACAACAATATCTCTATTATCACCATATGGAAACGGTAGTGGATACTGAAGAGGAAGGTATGAAGGATGTAATTCACTAATACGTCGTAGAGAACCAGAGAAAGTTTGAACAACAATATCTCTATTATCAATTGAATCACCAATATCTCCAACAATTAAAGCGGCAACCTCAGAAGCAGATGGTAGGTTGTATGTCCTTCCATCTTGGTCCCTTCTTCCAATAATTCTCAACTTGATACCAACATGAGGGTTTTCATGAAAACAATCTCTAACCATTCTATAAGACTGAACCAAGACATTATTTGAATCTAACATCAACTTCAAATCTTGTATAATATCATTATCAAGGACAGAAGAATTTGATGTAGATCGTTGATTTTCTCCACTGCAAGTAACATGAACATATAAACATAAGATAAATAAAGAAAATAATGATGATCAATAAGATATGTATCAATGTGATAATTGTGAAAAGTGTACCCAAAACATGTTTGTCTATTTGCGATCTCATTATCAATATCGTATATGTACAACTGAGAGAATTTTGGTTTAAATCCCTGTTCTGGTAAAATGCTTCCGATACTATGATAATTTTGACCGCTAAGTCTAAAAATGTATGGAGCATTGCCTCTATTGATTGAGGAATCAATCTTGCCACCCATTGACGTAAAAGAAAACATAGAATTGTAAGAACGAATGTTCTTCATGAAGTTTTTGCTTTTAGAATCTCCAGATCTATATAGATTTTCATAACTTGGAGGTGCATTCTTTAACTCTGGTAGTTCAACTTTGCCATAAGCACAACATAGAGAATAATTAATACTCTTTTTTTTTTACACCTGATAGATTCATCTTTCCATAATTTTGCAAAACATGTTTGGCATACAGCAATCTGATCACCATGATCTAAATAATCTGTTAATTAAGGTTGACATAAAAAAGTTAATCATGTCAGTGTATATAATTGAAAAGGATTAAATGAACAAATGTAAATATTATATTTGTTAAAAAATTACCTTTTGATATACCGTTGTATATGTTTTGATTATTTTGGCCATCGTTTTTGTCTTGGTAGGATCTCAGACCAATTATTGGAATAGGAGATAAATTTGGCTTTTTTTTTTCTTATTTTTATAATTTGGATTAGTTAACATGACTGAAGATGATCTTGATTTTATTGTAGATGATTTGCTGGATGTATCACCATTTGACAATACAGAGTATTGTCTAATATTTGGTAACGGTGATTGAAAACTGTTATTGGAAATATCCATGGCCGGGGAAAAAAATTGAAGGTATGCATTGTTAAATATGATAGAATAAAAATATACATTATAAAATGAAATGGTAAAATAAATGAGTTACTATTGGAAATGTTAGATAATGGAGTTCTAACATTTCAATGTGAAGGAGGAGTTTGTAACATTGATTGTTTTCACATATTTGCACTTGATTTAGATGCGGATATGTTTTTATTTCGATGTACAACTCCTTTGAATTTGTCTGAAAAAAAAAATGTTTATGAGAAATGCATAAATATTTAATACTTTTTTTAATATTATATAAATTTGAATATTGATAAAGAGATGATATAAAAAAACGATGATGTAAGAATTTTTATTTTATATATTTAAAGGAAACATAAAAAGTGTAAAAGCAATCAAGTATGTTACCGTTTGAATTCAATCTAATATTTGGTAACGGTGATTGAAAACTATTATTGGAAATATCCATGACTGGGAAAAGAGGATTGAAGGTATACATTATTAAATATGATACAATAATAATATATATTATAAAATAAAATGGTAAGGTAATGAGTTACCATTGGAAATGTTAGATAACGGAGTTCTAACATTTAAATATGAAGGAAGAGTTTGTAACATTGATTGTTTTGACATATTTGCACTTGATGTAGATGTATATACGTTTTTATTTCGAATGACAACTCCTTTGAATTTGTCTGCAAATAAAAAAATTGTTATAAGAAATGGATAAATTTTAAATGATATTTTTATTTTTTAAATATTATATGAATATTAATATTGATAAAGAGATGATATAAAAAATGAGGATGTAAGAATTTTTATTTTACATATTTAAAGGAAAGAAAAAAAGTGTAAAAGCAATTAAGTAGGTTACCGTTTTCCTTCATTTTAAAAAGATGTGATGTCGATGAAGTTGTATGGATTGATTCGGTCATACATTTTTTTTATTGTCCAAGTATAACTTTCTTATTCTTCTTTTTGCTCTTGCTTGAACGTGATAGATGTTCCTATTTGAATGTATATATATAAGATAGTTATAATTGAGATTAAAAATATTGATAGCATGATAGATGTTCCTATTTTACTTATATATATATATATATATATATATATATATATATATATATATATATATATATATATATATATATATATATATATAAGATAGTCATAATTGAGATTAAAAATATTGATAAAGAAAGTCGTAAAATATATAATGAAAGTATCGTTAGCACCTGAGTTACTAACATTTGTAGAAGATGGAATTCGACCGACTGATGTAGTGTACACAGGTATTTGTTTTGTATTATCCAGATAGAAATTATTTAATTTTATTTTCTTATTAGTCTTAAAGGAGTCCATGCTAATGGTTACTATCTGAAATATAAGAAACTTTATAAGTTTATACAAAAACATGATATGTTAAAATTTATTGTAAAATTGAAGAATAAATAAATATTTCAAATTTAAAACAGTATGCAATAAAAAGATAAGAAACTTTATAAGTTTATACAAAAACATTATATGTTAATGGTTATTATGTGTTTTCAATATTAAGTTTTCTTAAAAAAAACTGGAATATATGCAGAAAATAAAGTATATTCAAACAAAGAAAATAAAACAGAAAGACAAATACAATAATAAGAACAACAATGGCAGAAAATTACACACATAAAATCTAAAGACACAGAAAATTACCATTATGTCCCTGGAGTACTAATAATAAGAACAACAACCAGAAACTGAAATATAATGTTTTCTCGTTGGACTAATGAATGGATAAAATAAGAGAAAAGGGATTAATTGTCATTCTTGTTGACAAAAAATTACCATTATGTCACTGAAGTACTAATAATAAGAACAACAATCACAAACTGAATTAATGCGATAAAAACATTACGAAGCTACTATAATAAATATATACATTACGAAATTGATAAATTTGAGAAGGTATGTTGAGAGTTTGGGATTTCGATTTTCAATGAGGTGTTAAATTGCAGACAAATAAAAAAGCTTATGCAACAACATCTAAGTGGACATCACTCGTTATCCAATGGACCAACTAAGAGGTATGGCCTGATGTGTCAAATCTAATCCATCTTAAGGTACAAAGGTATTTGTTTGTATTATCAGATAGAAATTATTTAATTTTATTTTCTTATTAGTCTTAAAGGAGTCCATGCTAATGGTTACTATCTGAAATATAAGAAACTTTATAAGTTTATACAAAAACATGATATGTTAAAATTTATTGTAAAATTGAAGAATAAATAAATATTTCAAATTTAAAATAGTATGCAATAAAAAGATAAGAAACTTTATAAGTTTATACAAAAACATGATATGTTAATGGTTATTATGTATTTTCAATATTAATTTTTCTTAAAAAAAGTGGAATATATGTAGAAAATAAAGTATATTCAAACAAAGAAAATAAAACAAAAAGACACATACAATAATAAGAACAACAATGGCAGAAAATTACACACAGAAAATATAAAGACACAAAAAATTACCATTATGTCCCTGAAGTAGTAATAATAAGAACAACAACCAGAAACTGAAATATAAAGTTATCTCGTTGGACTAATGAATGGCTAAAATAAGAGAAAAGGGATTAATTGTCATTCTTATTGACAAAAAATTACCATTATGTCCCTGGAGTACTAATAATAAGAACAACAATCACAAACTGAATTAATGCAATAAAAACATTACAAAACTACTATAATAAATATAAACATTACGAAATTGATAAATTTGAGAAGGTATGTTGAGAGTTTGGGATTTCGATTTTCAGTGAGGTGTTAAATTGCAGACAAATAAAAAAGCTTATGCAACAACATCTAAGTGGAAATCACTCGTTATCCAATGGACCAACTAAGAGGTATGGCCTGATGTGTCAAATCTAATCTTTCTTAAGGTAAAGAGTTATAGATATAGACTATAGATTGTCAATGCAGTTGGAAAAAGTCTTCATCTTCTAAGAATGAGTATACCATGATTTTAAAGAAGCCTAAAGGTGATTGTTAAAAGGAAGATGAATGTAATTATGCATTGGAACACATCTAATGGAAGTTGTATAATTCGAAATCATTTTTTCAGATAAACAAACTGCTTTATTTATGAGTTTTTTATTCCAGTTTTTTATTCGGATAAATGTATAATGAAATGGGAGAAACAAAGTATTATTACCTAGTAGATATTTCAATTACATAATGCATCAGGAGCTAATAGCATAACCGAGTAGATAAGTGTATTTTTTTTGAAACACACTAACCTGATGTACAATATTAGTATAAAAGAACTAACCTCATGTTCTCTTTCGTGTTGTATAGTAAGTTGATATGAAGAAACGTATCTTGGAGTTAGAAACAGAGTATTTGCAGGTAGTCAGACGATGCAGGAGGAGGGTGTATTGAAATTCGAGTAAGTTGATTAGTAATCAAATTTTCTACAAAATAGAAATTGACATGCAATTTCCATAGTGCAATCCTATCATTTAGGAATACACCCTTATTTTAGCCATTTTTAAATCCGAATATCCAGCAAAAATAAATCAATTTAATTGCAATTTATATCATACCTTAATAAGAATCTGGAGGAGTGAATCGGGTATCTATTTCAAACGATTTGACATTAAATTTAAATAGAGATCATATAAAATAAAAATCGGATATTACTTGCATACTTATTTTGAGCTGGACATATATAGAACGTGATTATAGAAGATGATATGAATGAGGGACCAAAACGGTATAAAAACAGATTTCCAAGACTGATATACAATACCTCACAGTATAAAAAAACAGATTTCAAAGACTGATATCATACCTTATATACGAAATCGGATACCATAAAAACCTGCTATTAATCGGGTATGTAATTTACACATGTACAACTGTATTCTTTGAATATAATGACGTGATATATTGAATAGAATGTGAAACAAAACAGGGAGTAATTTATTGAATAGAATGTGAAGCAAAACAGGGGCAGAATTGGTATTTAAGTTTGGAAGAATTGAGTGGTTTTGAAGGGACACGTGGCATAGTAGTATAAAAAACATATCTCAAAGACTCCTACTTTTGCATCATTTTACCATTGTGATACAAACCATAGCCTCCGGCCATATAGCCTTTCTATTCAAATTTGGAGATAATAAAAATGGTATTTTAATTTGCTGGAAGGAATCAAATCTATATTGTGATTCCTGATTTTCAGGAAATAATGAGCTGAACAAAAGGATAGAAGAAGGGCAAAATAGACATTTCACTTTGTTTCCTTCTGTTACACCATCAATACACATACATATCTCATCTCACATATTAATTACAAATTTATTGCCATACAATACCTCAGAGTTTGGAAAACAGATTTCCAAGACTGCATGTACCGAGTTCCTACTCCTAGAGTTTGGAAAACAATGATGAATTTCCCGACCTAAAAAAATATAGAATACAAAAAAGATAATTAAAATCAATACAACTATAATATCCGTCAATTAGAAAATAAATGATATTAAGATGACTAAATTCTTCACATACCTCTTGTGGTTCTAGCAAATCGACAACATTTTTAACCTTATGATTGATCAAAAAGTCATCGTATTCAGAATATGATTGAGAGGTATCAACAGTCAAAGAAGAAGAAGGGTTTTGAAGTCCTCGTAGACCAACCAAGCTGTTTTTTATTAAGGAGATTAATTATTAAATTAGTAAAATTATTAAAAGAAACAAAAAAACAATGAATTATTAAAATAGTTTGTTACCTATCTGTGAAGGTAACAATATCGGGGAGATCAACATTTATGAACATCCTCGTGCGATCAAAATGACTGTTAACAGGAGGTAGTCCTAACGAAACAAAATAAAAGACTCAAAAAGAATGATTAATAAATGCATAAAATAAGGTTGGTTTGTATAAAAAATGTACCGTTATAAACATTAATTTTTGCAAACTGCAATAGAACAATCACATGACCAACTTGTTTATGAGCTTCAATATAAGAAATCAATTGGTATGCAATATCTCCAAACAATGTCACGTTAACCTGCAAACCTCTGCAAAAATAATAATGGTTAAATGAAAATATAATACAAAAATAACACATGCAAAGTGTAAAGTAATGAATATAATATAAGAAAAGTTATGGTTACTCTAAGTTTCGGATCTGTAAAGGTAGTCTATGTCTGGATTTGTTGACATCACGGGAATCAAGCTTTCCTAATGAAACAACTTCACCAATAACATCTAGAAGAAGATAATACAATATGTCAAAATGATGTAAAATTAAAGAATTAAATATAATATACAATCAAGAAAGGGGGAAAATTACCAATTGAGTCATTAGATGTAGTTGTTGCAGAGATAATTGTTTCAAACGAAACACAAGAAAATCCGTATGTTGTTTTGGATTGAAAGTGTAGATACTCATTCACAGTTGTTCTTCCATGCAAGTTTAACTTGTCCTTTACATCACTTATTTTAAAACTGTATCTATTAGGAGCAATAGTGGGGGATCAGATGTAAACAACTTGATCTTCTTTCAGTTTCGATTCAAACCTTTGAAAATCTCTTGGATAGACACTTGCTCGGATTTTAGTACACTATTGACATAGGTTAAGAATATTATATAATGTTAAACAATTGTATTTTAATAAATAGAAATTGGTTAACAATGATTTTGAATAATGTTATTGGAATAATAGATTTTACCATCTCATCCATCAATATCATCTCAATTGATTTCACTATAGTGGGGTTAACATCTGAAATTGATCTCCATAGTCGGATTATAGACACTTTCAGTGTGTAATCATCCTTCATATTGTCCAAGTCTTTAATCAAAGTGATATTTCTATCTGCCATTGTCATTATAACAGAAAGACACATACAATAATAAGAAGAACAATCACAAACTGAATTAATGCAATAAAGTATATTCAAACAAAGAAAATAAAACACAAACACACATACAAACACAAACACACATACAAACACAAACTCTATATCCCTGTACAGAAAATTACCATTGTGTCCATGGACTATTAAATAAAGCATATTCAAACAAATAAAATTAATGAAATTTAGTTTTCAAATAAGATGTTAGTAAGGACATATGTCGATTTTATAACTCATATGTATGAATCAAAATATTCCAAGGAAAACAATATAAAATATTGAAGATCTTGATAAGTAAATGAATAGGGTATTTATCAGTAATTATTTATTGTCTTTGTTGGAATCTAAAATTAGTCAGAAATGTTTAAGCTAACATATAAAATTAAAAATCCCTCAAGTTCATGAAGCAGTTTGTTTATATTCAAGCGACTTATGAAGGAGCTGGTGAAAAAGGGTATCAGGGAGAAATGTTTCACGTTGGGAATGAAAAGAAAGAAACAGAATCATTTATTCAACCATCATTTGTATGCTTTCCTTTATAATCTCTAGCAACCACCATTTGTTATTCAAAATCAGTTCTGGAAGAAGGGTACAATAGTCATTTATATATTTGTGAAACAGAATCAGTTATTCAACCATCATTTGTATGCCGAACTGACATTTTCTAATAGGGGGAAGTATTGAAAGGTCAATACATTTGAAATGTTGTTCCTTTAAGAAAGGTGTGCTTGCATTTCTCATAAGAACAAATTAGGTGATGCGAAATATGTTTACATGATCTTTTGGTATTCGAATTCATATACATACATTGATACACGACTACACATACAAACAAACATTTCAACTATATTTATACTCATACAAATACGCTGATAAAAACTAAAACATGTTCTAAACAAAGATTAATCCACCCTGCAGGCAAAGAACACTATATCTAATACATTTTATTAGCAAAGACATGTATAAAGCTTGTCCAGTAGATGTTGTACTGAGACTTTTTTTTAATCAATCGAACTACTTGATGCATCCCGATATAAAGTTCAAGTTAGCCTCTGTTACATACAACTATTATGTTGTATTACCAATATTTATACTAAGCCAGGATTAAAAACAACAACATTCAAGAACGATGAGTGTACCAAACAGATTCTGCCAAAGGCAGAGTATCTTCAGGCGTACAAGTTGTTGGTCTTCTTTCCTGCGGAGGGTCGTATTTCGTAAAGGAACGATTATTTAATATGTATGAAGTTTATATAGAACAGAATATGATTTAAATGAGTAATAAAATCAAATTAATTGCAATTGATATCATACCATATATAAGAAATCGGATACCATAATAAACTGCTATTAATCGGGTATATAACTTAAACATGTACTATTGTATTCTTTGATTATAATGAATTGATTTATTGAATAGAAGGTGAAACAAAACATGGCATGATTATTGAATAGAAGGTGAAACAAAAGAGGGGCAAAATTAGTACGTGGAAGACTGGTTTTGTTTATTAGGGGGGTGTTTGACTTAGCTTTTCACAGCCAAAAGTCCTTTTTGGAAAAGAAAAAAAGCAAAAGATGTTTCACAAAACTAGTTTTAAAAACTACTTTTGGAGTTTTGATACAAGGAAAAAGAACTTTTTTGGAAAAGTCAGGAAAACCTGACTTTTTGTAACTTTTCCAAAAATGACTTTTGGGCTGTGAAAAGCTAAACCAAACACCCCCTAGATAGGGAGATAGGGAGATTAGTAATACAAGAAAAAAAGCCTTAGCTTAGTGATACATTTTGTAAAAGAAAAAATAAAAGTTTGTTACCCTTCAAAATTATTTTTCCAAAAACTAATAATGAAAATGAAAGACGTAGCATCCAATGAAGAGATAAAATGGAGAAAAACGTCTTCAATGCATTTATGTGACATTATATGATAGTTTAGTTTAATAAGTTGAAGTTTTATTTTAAAAAAAGTAGTTTTAGGTGGAAGATGAATTAGGACAAGTTGGGGAAACATAAACCTAGAAGCCTCCTCATCCGGTCCCGCTTTGGTCTCTTGGCGGTGGCATCGCCACTTTCCACCAAAGAATATTATTTCTCGATTCGTCCGCGGATAATCATTGCCATAATACAATCTCATCGTCACTGTTTTCATCAATCCTATTCCTACCCCCAACTCACTCCACCAGGAAAAAAAACGTCAATCCCTCTTTCCAATCGCTCATAACAAGTACAAGTCTCGTGTGATTTGACTTGGAAACTAGACGCTTTTCACGACTCTCCTCCTCACCACTGATACAAACCCAAAAGCCCTAAACTCTAACATGCTTGACTAGTGTCATCAGAGGATGGAAGCTGATGTTTCCATCCCCCTTTAAACCCTAGCTTTCCGACAACGAAAAATTGGATCTTCATAGGGTCTTTAATTTTGGTACTTTTGTGGATTCAGAAAGAAAAATGTTGAATCATTGGGTGTTCGGTTGCTTTCTATGTTTATTGGCATCCTGGGTGACTGCTAATGTTGTTTTGATGGGGAATAATCTTACTTTAGCTTTTGATGACATCGAAGCTAATTTTGGTGAGTCTTATATTCTCCACACTGTGTTTGGCTTTGCTCTTATTGATTGTATGAAAGTTACTGAACAGAAGCTCAAGCTGATTGAGATTCTTATTCAGTTAATTCAAAACAGAAAAAATCTCCGTAGATGCGATACGGTATGTTTGAGCTTAATTTGGAATTTTAAACTTGCTAGACGTAATTCCTTTGCTGACTTTGCTCATAATATCTTTCTGATTTTCTGATTAAATAGGTTCAAAATAGATTTTAAAGAAGCATGATGATGTAAGAAAATTGATTATTAGATAAATATAAAATTAGCAATTAACTGATCATATGATTTTGATTCTTTAAGTTGCAATAATCACTTTGAAATGCACATCTAAAGATCCCCTTATCAGGAATGCCCAAGCTAGATTGGTGCATATTTTTTGGGGCTAAGTGCAAGTAATAGCAACTTACTTTCATTTCTTTGTGTATTACAGAATCCTCCTTATATTCCTTTCTATTACATCATTTTTTTTTTTTTTTTTTTTTTTTTTTTTCTCTTTTTCCTTATTAATGCATTGTACTTTAAAAGATCCACCCAATAATAACATTGTACTTTCAAAAAAATTCTTACTTGGACATTATACTATGCAAGAATACCCAATTATAGCATTCAAAATTGATTTGTATTCAAATGACATTGCTATAATTGAATAGTTTTTTCAATATGCAATGCTCTAATAGGAAAAAAGAAAGTTTGATGCTATAATAAACAAATCAATGAAAATAAGTTGCTAGTTCTTGCATCTAACCCAATTTTGTGTCTGAAAATATTGGATTCTTCAAGTTGCAATGGTGTTTCATGTTGTAATTGGTTGAATTTTTTTGCAGCTCCACCTGTGAAAGGTTCTGGGGAATGTGGAACATTGTTTCTTGCAGAGCCATTGGATGCTTGTGCACCTTTGAGTAATAAAACAATTGAAGACAGCTTAAACCAGCCCTTTTTATTAATAGTTAGAGGAGGATGTAGCTTTGAGGATAAAGTTAGAAGAGCACAATCTGCAGGGTTCAAGGCAGCCATTGTCTATAATAATGATGATACTGATCTTGTTGCAAGTATGCCTTTTCTCTATCTGCTTTCACATCATTTTAACATATATTGTCTCATCCTTTTCAAAATTATATTCTGTTGAACTTATTTAAATTGTTTCTTGCTCGCAGTATTGTCATCCCTTTTAAAGTTATATTGTGTCTATGTGCAAGTAAGGTGCTGGTTACTTCTTACTTAATGGACTTATTGGGGATATGAATTAATATCGGTGTTTACTTTTGACTTGATTTAGGGAGATTGACTTAATAGAGAAAGTTAGGCAAAGGAGGCTTTCCCCATCAAATTAATTTAGTTTAATTGATTTTCTCATCCTTATTTATTTTGATGAATTCCACTCTTTATTGGTTAAAAGATTCTTTTAGATGTTAAGTGATGTATACAAACACATGAACATACATACATGCATAGGCCGGAAATAAAGTGATAACCTCAATTACGTTGAGAATGTGAGACCAAATTTGGGCCATTAGATAAAAAAGATCAAGGACTGTATTCGGTGATGACATTTTTGTAAATTATTGCAAGAGCTAATTTACATATTGCTATTATGGGTAAAAAAAGAAAACAAAAGTATGTTGCTGTTAATGTTATGGGTACATAAATGTAAGTGTGTTGCTATAATGTAAGTACATTGCCATTATGGGTAACAAATAGTGTATGTTGATATGTTTCATGTTATATATTTCTATTATTGGTAAAGAAATTTAGAATGAGTTAAATTTTTTTAAGTACATGGCTATTAATGATAGCAAGAGTAAAGTATGTTGCTATTTGGCTGCAATTTGAACTATGTACTTTATATACAAATGTCTTAACAAGGATATTTGAAATTGTAGTGGCGGGTAATTCGGGCGGTATATCGATACATGCGGTATTTATTTCAAAAACATCGGGACTAAAGCTGAGCATGTACGCGGGTATAACTTCATTGGAGCTATGGATTATCCCAAGCTTCGAGAACTCTGCATGGTCAATCATGGCCATATCTTTCATTTCATTGCTTGCCATGTCAGCAGTACTTGCTACATGTTTCTTTGTGCGTAGGCATCGGATAAGACGAGATCGCCCTCAGGCTTCTCGTGTTCGGGAATTTCATGGAATGAGTAGTCGGTTAGTGAAAGCTATGCCGAGTTTAATATTTACAGCTGTTTTAGAAGATAATTGCACTTCTGCCACATGTGCTATATGTCTCGAGGATTATAGCGTCGGGGATAAGCTTAGAGTTTTACCATGTCGCCACAGTAAGTCTTTTATTTAATTTAATTAATTATTTTTTTTTTTTTAAATGTAATTTTACCAGATGACAACATGAGATTTTGACA